ATGCCGGGGGCTTAAGTGGAGAGGAAATGTTTTGAGAATGAAGTACAAATGTGCTTTACACAATTGATGTATGTGTGGATTGGGATAAGAGTTGTACGAGCCCCTAATAAAATGATTTATAAAAAAGAATATTGAAAGTACAGTGGACTGGCAAAGGAACAAGAAATCTGTCTTGGAAGCCATACAGCCAGAGTGCTCCTTAAAGGCAAAGATGGCGAGACTTTTCCTCACCTGCTTCGGACACGTTGCCAGGAGCGACCAGTCCCTGGAGAGGGACACGCTGCTCGGTAAAGCAGAGGGGCGGTGAAAACGAGAAAGGACCTCAATGTGAGGAACTGACTGACGCAGTGGCTGCAACACTGATCTCAATGATAGAAGGGCAAGAGTGGGTGATGTTTTTGTTCTGTTGTGTATGGGGTCGCTTTGAGTCAGGGCTGACTCAGTGGCATTCAACAACAGCAACAACAACAACAACATTTATCTAAGAAATATTCCAAAGCTAATAACTCGTATTAGCCACAGCGTGGTGAACTATGTCCCAGAATAAGCAAATGGTGGGAACCAAGTGTCTTCAAACGCAAAACATTAAAATAAATAGTTACCTATTTGGTGGGTTGCTAGATGATATTATATGGTGTCATGTTGCTCTCTGCTTCAGATATTCTCCACTAACTATAGGATAGTCCAAATACCATCACATTGCCTTCCAAGAATTAGTCCCTGCCTTTTTAGAGCCTTTCAGAGAGCAGACAACCTGATGGTGGGTTGGATCCATTGACCTTGCATTTAGCAGCTCAGTGCGTAGTGGGTTGTGAGTTAAGCTGCTACCTGCTGGGTCAGCAGTTTGAAACCACCAGTTGATCCTCAGAAAAAAGACGAGGCTTTCTACTCCTGTAAAGATTTCAAGTCTGAGAAACCCACAGTGGTGGTTTGACTCTGTCCCACAGGGTGACTATAAGTCTGGATCAACTTGATGGCAGTTGGATTCGTACAAAATAGTCCGTGGACCTTCTTCACCTGACTTAAGTACCCAGTGCTTAACCATACTAGAAGTATTGCAACAGAGCTTGGAATGGCTTTTTTATGTGCCTGTCATTCCCCTTCTACATATAAAGATTGTCCTTGGACATGAAACTAAGTCTATAGAACTTCAAAGAAAAAGCGGAGCCATTACGTTTTTATCAAGATGCGGCTGGCTATATGTAGCGAATGCCAGCACAAAGCTCATTCGATTTCGAGAATGGCAGAGAATTGCTTTCGCCTTTGATGCTTGTCTGCTCTGATCTCTGTTGCTGCCCTTTGACTGGCTGGCTAGATCACTGTATGTTCTTTTGGTTAAGAGATTAACCCAAATCTTTATTCTGACTTTCAAAACCCTCTACTATAAGAATCCTATTTACTTTTGGGGACTTCTTTTCTACTACAATTCTACAATTTGAGTAAGTCTGGGTTTTTGTGTCTAGAACATTGTGACATACCCTCTTTACTGTAACTGGCCTTTCTAGCTCCTGCTTGGCCATCCAGTGTAAGCTTTGGCGTCTTTGCCATGGCCTCTAGGCCTGACCTGGTATTTCTTCTATAGACTCTCATGTCATTGCTGGAATTCCCTTTAGCCCCACATGGGCCATACTGGTTTGAATTGCTGTCTGCTGGTAAACCTGGGAGTGCAGGATCTGTGTCTTGTACACTGTGACACCGTCCACTTTTAAAACAATCCTAGATCGTGGGTCAGAGTGAATATTCAATGACAACATTGCTTTCTATACCAAATATTTGTGGGAGCAACCTTAGAGGCCCTCAGGTAGAGGAGGAACAATCTGGCAAACCTTGGGTTTCTTGGAGCTTTGTCAGAACAGGTGCATTTGAACATCAGATAGTTATACATCTGTGCATAGTTTTTTTTCCCCTGCTTGGATGCCTTCCACCATAATGATCATCATTTGTCATCACTTGCTGTAGTTAGGGTCTATCAAAGCAGTTCGGGCTCAGAGTGATCCTACGCACAACAGAAGAAACCAATGACTGATCCTACATGACCCTGACAAGCGCTGTTATTTTAACCCCATTGTTGAAGCCACTATGTCAAATCGTCTACTTCATGACCGTCCTGCTCTTCTCTGCTCACCCTCCAACTCCACCAAGCACAATGTCCTTTTCCACTCCCTGGTCTCCTGTGATAACATGTCCAAAGTATGTGAGCTGAAGTCTTGCACCAACCTCACTCTTAAGGAACATACTCATTTTAATTTTTCTAAAACGGAGGTGTTTGTTCTTCTGGCAGTTAATACTATTTTTATATTCTTTGCCAACACCTGGCAATCTGCTCCTATCCAAAGAGGAAGTTCTGCTTTGCCTCCGTGGAAATCTCTTGGAGTTGGAAATCAACTCGAAAGTAACCACAAAACCCAACCCGCAGCTCACTTCCATGTTCTGCCAAGAAGGGTGGGCTGGGTGTGTTATTAAAAGTTCGGACTCTCTAAGTGGCAAAAAGAAAACAACAAACAGACTCCCTGCCGTCAAGTAGATGCTGGCTCATAGCCACCCTCAAGGATAAACTTGGCCTTTAACTAAGTTCCAGGTGGGGAACCAAACAACAGTGCCCCCCCTCCCCCAAATAATAATCCTTTTATATACAGGGTAGTAATTGTGGGGCTCTGACCATATCCAATCAGTTTGTTTAATTTTTGTTTCCTTATCTCTAAAAGAAAGATAATAATATATTTGTATGTTGGGCTGCTAACTGCATGATCAGCAGTTCAAAAGCACCAGCAGCTCCACAGGATGAAGACGGGGCTTCATACTCCTGTAAAGAGTTACAGTCTCAGAAACCCCCGGGGGCAGTTCTATCCTGTCCTGTAGGGTCACTGTTTGTCAACATTGACTTGGTGGCAGTGAATGTTGGTTTTGGTTTTGTTGTTAGGGGCTATCGAGCTGATTTTCAACTCAGAGAGATACCATGTAGGCAAAATAGAACTGCCCTTCTTGACAGGACGAAGTTTCCTGGTATTTTTTCCACAGAGTCACTGGGTAGATTTGAACCACTAGCTGCTCAGTTAGCAGCTGAGGGCTTAATTGTTGTACCACTAATACTGATAAAAGGAGAGTGGGATCTTTGAGATCTGTTGCTGGATATGAAAGTAAAACTTGGCCAAGTACCTTGCTAAGCATCAAGGTATCTCTTATAACTTCCTGATACGGTACATCCACATGACCTTTAGGCCAAAGCCAAAGAATTATTGGGGCATGATTTAGCAGAATATATACAAGAGATATCATCCAATTAGCTCCTCAGTAATTTGGCTGGCTATATTGCTCTACATCCTTCATCCTCTGTCTACTTGTGGTGCTAACTCCGGAACAATGAGAGCAACCCATCCCGATGTCCTCTTAGTGCCGAAAGCCCGGTCAGTGGCTAACTTTTTTCTCTTTCTTTGCTTCCTGGCTCTTGGAAGAACAAGTGCCTCATACACTGAGAGCAGTGAGTGCCTGGGAGCTCTTTTGAGCTGTAGGTTTTCAATTTTCTATAAACCATAAAACTAAAAACAAAATAAAACAACTATATCAACAACAAAAGCATCCTGGAATTTCCCAGCAGCCCTCAGCTGTGTCTTTCAGGATGGTGTACGAATTCCATTCAGGAAGGATCTCTTTAAAAGCATGAGCTCCTTTATTAACTCTTGCTCCTCTGCCAAATAATTAGATCCTTAAAAAAAAAAATAATAATAATAATTAGATCCTTATCTAATTGTTGACTTACCCTTTCAGAGCAAGTTGGTGTCTTTTATTTTTCTTAATGGACTGTCCTGGTGGTGAGTTGGCTTAGGCATTGCTAACTGCAAGGTTGGCAGTTCAAACCCATTAGCCAGTTCTGTGAGAGAAAGATGAATCAAAGG